AAGTATTACTGCTTCAAAAGAATGCAAATCAGTTTTGAAGTGTTTGGAAGCGACGACACTTTTGTTGGTGTTAATAGTAATATGGCTTTCATAAATACATACATACATTTATAATGTATTTATAAATATTTCTGTAAGTTTTCAAAGGATTTGCTGAGCTAAGCGCTTCAGTGACAGCTGCTAAACTTGTGATATTATTATAGGTAGTAAAATATGGCAACTGAAACACATACGGCTTTGCGAATTTTTTAGGCATTTGATTTCATTCGAAGGTTATTGTAAAGTATTAAGCATATTTTCATAAAATCTCTGAAAAGCATTCATTTGAGTTCGGTATTGTAAAATCGTAATGAAACCAAGCTTAATGTCGACCGTATTGGTCGTTTTCAAAGCAGCACAGATTGTCTTTGCGGCAGCAATCGATTTATTCCTTCGAAATTCAGGATTTTTCATCAAAATGAAATCCTTATAGAACCTAACATTACTAACCATGAGATAAACATTAGTTGACTACAGCATATTTTCATTACACAGTACAACAGCTAATCTGGGGGGTGAGAAATTCTAAGTCAGGGTGATGGTACTAGGTCAGTATAGTAAAACCCTCAAAAGGTTTGGCGTTCGTATGTGTCAGTTTTTTTATGACCTTTTAAATTCTTTCCTTATATTGATGTTTTGTCGCTTAGTTGTAACATTGTGGCAAAAAAAAAAAAAAAAAAAAAAAAAAAAAAAAAAAAAAAAAAAAAAAAAAAAAAAAAAATAAAAATAAATAAAAATAAAATAAAATAAAAATGTTTACTTTATTTTTTTAGTAGTTTATGGCCAGAAGTCTGGAGTTATTGGGGAAAATTTCCACAGTGTTATTAACTGCTACTGAGCTTGTAAGCCTTTCCTATAACAGTTTCATAGCTATCCCTGCGCGCGGAACGCAAACTGTAAGGTTGATGAGTTTGTAATGGGGGCCACCCTCTGATCATTATTCCCGAATTCAGTGGTGTGAGAGTGCATTTCTGCTCTTGTGGAGTACTACACACTGCAATTATTATTACTATACATAGGCTCTGCAAGATTCGCCGCTACTAAATTTTTCTAACGATAGAGGCATTTTGACGGTGTCTAGAGAGCTTTGCTATAAGATTCATATTCTTTGAAATACCGAGATTATGACTGATTAAAAACCAAAATTTGTTTACTATCGAAGTATGGAAGACGATGGATCGCTACATTAAAAAATATTTTCTTAATTGAGACTTAAGTTGAAGCGCATGTCTCTCAGTTGTTTATCAGTCGAGGGAAATCATTATAATAATATAAATTTTCCCTTATGTTGAGTTCAAGATATTCCATCGATACTAAGTCTTAAGTTATGTTAACATGGAACTTATTTTTACGGTCTAAAGGACTTCTGTTTTTATTGTAGGGCAAATTTCTCTAGCGCCATACTAATCTAAAAATTACTTATCTACTGTTGAAATCTGTGTGAAGATAAGCTGAATTTATTCCAATTCCTTTTCTTGATTGAGATTTCAGATGACATGTTTTGGCTCTCGGTTCTTTATCAAAAAAAAAAAAAAAAAAATGAAAGAAATCGAATAATAATCACGCCCACCTCTCATACAAAGGTTATGTTGAAAATCACTCAAAGTGCGTTAACCGACTAACAAAAAACGTCAGAAATACTAAATTTTACGGCAGAAATGGCAGAAGGAAGCTGCACACAGGCTTTTTTAAAAATAGAAAATGTTCGTGGCGTCGCCCACTTATGGACCAAAAACCATATCTCAGGAACTACTCAACCGATTTGAATGAAATTCGGTACATAATATTTTCTTGACACCCTGATGACATGTACGAAATATGGGTGAAATCGGTTCTCAACCACGCCTTCTTCCAATATAACGCTATTTGGCATTCCAACTGATGCCTTCTCTTTATAATACATACATTAGGAACCAATGATAATAGCGGAATAAAACTTTACACAAATACGGTATTTGAGCTGAGGTATCTCTTGTGGACTATAACCTTTCAAGGTTCTTGATATCGAACACGAAGAACTCAGTGCCTAACCTAACCTAACCTAATTTTTCACCGAAATTATCGGTAAATCTCTCAGATATTTTCATGTAATTCAGAGGGCATCATTTTTATACTCTCGCAATAAAGTTGCTAATAACGGTATATATCGTCAGATATATGGTTACATTTACCAAAGTGATCAGGGTGACGAGTAGAGTTGAAATCTGGATGTCTGTCTATCCGTCCGTGCAAGCTGTAACTTGAGTGAGAATTGAGATATCTTGATGAAACTTGTCATGCGAGAGTATAAAATGTTCCGTGACACCCGAACTTAGCCCTTCCTTACTTGTTTGACTAAAGTTTTGTATATAAAGTGTGTGGATAATAGACTCGTGCCAAAAAAAGTAAATACGCCGTCACAATACAGCGTGTTTGGAATTAACTTTTGTGATCACCAGATTTTGCCTCATGTGAAATTTTTGCCTTTCGAAACTGTGCTATAACGTTATTTATCTATTTCGGTTGCTTTAGTATATATCATTATTTTTGTAAGTTGTAATGGATCTTTGACCGCGGTGCAATCCTCATTTCATTACCTATTATATTATTCCTTATTTTTGTATCGTTTTGTATACATTATTGTCTATTGGGGCCATCTTCTTTAGATGATGATATTCCAGATGAATCGTAATGGCAAACTCGATCAAATCTCTAGATCTTTGTAAGATTGATTGAGGATTATTTCTGCGAAATGGCAGGACCGGTTGACTTGAATTTATCACACGACTGTTTTTAAATACTTGTTTTTTGTGACTAATCAAAATTTTGAATATTATTTCTCTCGATGAGTGGATAAGTAGGTAGAATGAATGCTTGAAAATGCATCAATACTATTATTCTGACCGTTGTGGAACCACAAGGGCTAAAATCTCATCACTCCATTATGTTTTATTATAACCATCCTGTGCTGCTTTTGAATTTCATCAGTTAAAATCAGGAATTTACACCAACGACATTCAGCTATATTTACATCATCATTGTCTATTAAATAACTACAAGTAGCCCAAGGCATATAAATTCCCTCTTCCATCTGGTGTCTAATTGTAGGGTGGTGCCTGCTCTGGCCAATTCATATGAAATCCCCATCGTAAAAATAGAACTAGGTAGTTATCACAGAATTCTTTCACTGTCTATGTCAAAACCTTCAAAGACTTTAGTGATCTCAAAGCCGGTTGGCAATCTGTAATATGGATATATTATTTCTCAGAATTCTTTAAATTATGTGATCTTAGCTTGGAAGGCACTGCAGTGATCTGGTGTTTGGTAGGCGATTCTGTTATCTAATTCTGCTGAAAACACACCAACTTCCACTAGATTATCGAGTTAGGACCCCTCCATATCGATGCTTATTACTGCATCCCTGTTCACTTCGTTCCTTTGCCCTCTTCGATGGAAGAGAAATCAATATTTAGAACCGAATTCTAACTTAATTCTACAGAAATACTAAAATCCGTACTATTGGTTAAAATCAGACAAAATTTTCGCACCCAAAGATACTTTTTTGGTACTTTCACAAGTAGTCTTAGAGATCGTATGCGCGATTAAAGGCATCCACAAATTTTCGTAATGTACCGGCGATTACTAGTTTTTTTCAGTTTTTCTTCGCTTTTATGTTTGTTAAGATGGGTTAAAAAGTGTGCTTTTCAACAACTATTTGTAATCCTTTTTTTTTTAAATTTTTTCTATCAATTACAATAAAGTTCTAGATCTTAAAATTAGTAAAATAATTTAAATTATACTTGATTATATCTTAAGACATCAGAGAGATGCTGAAACACCTCCTATACCTTTGTCCGGCACTAGCTAGAACTCGACTGAAGTCTCTAAGAGCTTCGGAGTTCAAAGGACTTGACGAAGTATTATACGAAGATGCCAAGTCGCTCTTAAAGTACGCAAAAAACGTTGAAGTCTTGTGTTCTTCAACTTTAATTTAGCTGAACCTAAATTTGGCATTATCAAGTAAGTCTATGTATGGCATGATACCCGGTCAACTTAACCTAATTATGTCTTTGGAGACTACATACAAATTTCTAATCGCTCGGCTCGGCAATCGGTAGAAGAGATGATCAAGACTCGCTTTTGTTTTAGCGATGTAACACTTTTTGGAAAGGTAAATAATATGAATCATAAGATTTGTTTTTACAAAACCGTACTTTTTCTTACCAAATATAGACGAAGAAAATATATTAAGAACTTTTTAAGAATTCAATTAAACATTTAGAATTTTGAGTCGATATTCGTTCAACGAAATCGCCTTGGATATTTGCTAGTACTTAATGAAATGATTTGCCGATTGTTTTCTACTCACACTACGCGGAAACTACAGTAACATAGAGGAAAGAGGAAAAGCACAAAAAAATTAACTTGCAACTTTTTGAAAAAAAAAAAACTCTTTACTTCTGCGATATTTTCCAACTTTTTAAAAGGCAATCAAAAGATCTATAAAAGTAGTATTAAAGTTAAGAACAACGAAACATGAAAAGACGAAAGAACGAATACGAATAATGAACAATAAATAACAATTATAAAACGAAATGCTAGTAAATCAGCCAACTGCCAAAATCAGTAAATATTTAACGCTACAAATTGCATTTCCGTTTAATTTAAAAATACATAGACATATTTATAGAATTTCGCAACTTCTTCGCAGGAAGTACACAGTAACGGTAACAAATGTAACAAGCAAACAAGTCAACATGAACAACAATAATAAAAAAACAACAATTTGGTGAAACTTGATAAGCAACTCTTGTAGCATTAAGGGTATATACTATAGAGTAGAGTATACGTGTATAGGGATTTCAGGAGCAAGTTTTTAATATGTACACCAACAACAAAGTAAGAACCAACAAAACGGAGGAGGAAGAAAGTAAACCAAAACTGTTTTACAAGACACAATAGAATGAAAACCACAAACTTACGAAAATCCATTTGTTCATCCTCCAATTGCCTTATCACAGACGCATGACTTTGGCGTAGCATCAGCAGCTCCTCCTCGATCGAGTCATCGTAAGCGGAAGTCGATGTGGGTGTGGCGATGATGGCCTCCTTCGATGCGGACGCTGTCGGCGTCTGTTGCTGTTGCTGTTTCCTTTGGCTGAAACGTGCAAAAACTTTCACTCGACTGCCACGACGACTCTTCAGAGTGGCACCAGTGCCACCACCTGCGCCATTTGTCGGCGTTTGCGGCTCATGAGCTGGCGCGCTATTGTTTGTTTGCGTATTGCCCATACTTTCGGTGTTAGTCGGCGCGCTTGAGCGGGTTCGCTACAATTGCAAGAGAAGCGATGTGCGGCGAAGAGAGAAGAGAAGAAAATCAAAAAGTATTAAAGTCAATTACAACATTGTTTAATCGTATTAATTTTCTACTTAAATTCAAAGCGAAGTGATATCGAATGAATTCGAGAAAGCAATGTTTTTTTAATGAGTAATTCTTAAGTATTTTCTTAATGACCTTATTGCTACCCCTTACTGTCTCGTGTTGATGTGAAAGAAAGGAAATACCAAAAATAAGTATTATTTGTGGATATAACTTATTTTAAGGAATTTTTAAAGGTTTAAGGTTAAAGAATTGCTTTCTTTTTAATTAAGTGGAGGACGAAGACATAATGGTGTAGTCAAAGAAGAGAGAGGAGGTATAAATTGTGAGCAACTGAAAACTAGCAACATATCAGCCTGTTTGCCCAACCATACCTAAACTGGGTTACTATTCTAAGTGAATGGACGCGAGTTCTAAGCAACGCATACTCTAGGAACCCATTATAGGCAAGGTAAAGTAAACAGGCTGATATTCAAGGGGTCATGTGAATTCCTACTTAAACGGCTAGAAATGTCGGTCCGTTGTAAGTTGTAAGTCCAGAACTCTTAAATATGAATGAAAAATACTCAGAATAGCCTTGAGATTATCCCAAATTTTTTAAAATGGCTAATTCGAGAGAATATAAAGGTATGATGACCAAAAATACTTCATCTTCACTTCACCGAAAGCTGGACTGTGGATGAATGAGTGCTTGAATGATTCAACTGCACCCTCACCCATGTAGAAGATTACCGCGGAGCATCGTTTCGTTACTAGCCTAATGAGATTGCGGTAAGGATGTCCTTTTTTGCCACCTCATAATCTTTGCAGTTTCCAGCGATTCCGCTATGAACAGGTACCAAAATCAATGTGATAATTAAGTAACTTGATGCTATTACTATTAAGGCGAGACACTTCTTAATTACCCTGAATTCACTGACCCTTGGTCTAAAGGTCAATATTAAAATTAAAGTTAATGGAGAGCTTTCGATATAAAACTACCCCTCCAACATTCCCCTGGAAGTTCGACTGTGTACTGTGTCTCTTCTCTAGTGACTCCCTTCAACCCACGTACTCGTATCAAGTGAACATTTATCGACATTTTAAAAGCTCATTCGATGATTTTATTATTTCCTCGCATCACCTTTGAAACTTCTAAGCTAAGTAGGCCTATTATCATTGTAGTCTATCGCATTTAGATTATACCGACCTTCCAACCATTCAATACCTAGCTATTTTGGCAGTACGACTTGTCCTTTGCTTCAACATAGTCCGCAATTTCGGTGATCATCTCTCCGCTAAATTTATTCCTAGCGAGAGCTCTTTTGAGATCTAAAAACTGGAAAATGTCGCTGGGGTCATATCAGGAAATTACGATGGATGTAAAAGCAGTTATAGGCTCAATTATTGATTTTTGCCATCGTTTACACTGACTTTTGACTTTTACAGATGAGATTTCGTCCCTCAAAGGGTCCTATAAAGATGTGTATGTAATAGTCGCTATTGATAGTTTTTATTTTTCAAGGTAGTCAGTAAAACTTATTCTACGCGGATCCCAATATACTGTCGCTATAACTTTGCCAGCCTATTGTTGAGTTTTTCCACGCTTTACAGCGGGTTCATTGTGTGCCGTCCACTCGGTCTGACTGTCGATTGGACCTCAGAGTGAAATGATGGAGTCATATTTCAGTCATTAACACATATCCATGCCTGAAATTGGTTTTAATTCGATTTAATATCGGCAAACACTGTTGCGAATCAGCAACTCGTCGTTGCTTTTAGTCAAAAGATCCCACGGCACCCACTTTGAAGAGAGCCACCCAAATATTCGTGAATGACACATTCAGTTAATATCTTTAGAATGCCCGCTATCTCGAACAATTGAATTTTACAGTCATTCAAAATTATTTTGTGGACTTTCTTGTGGTTTCATCGGCAACAACCTCTTTGGGTGTCCACTGTGTTCTTCTTCGTCTTCGGTGCTCATTTCACCACATTTAATCTTAGCATGTCAATCTTTGATGGTTGATTTTAATGCGATAGCCTAGGTCAGCAGGGTCAGCCTGCTTAAGATTGAAGCGATGATTTAATCTCCTGGCGTTATACCTTAGTGCTAGACGCTTTATTATTGTTGTTTATTTAAATTTCTTGATAGTCTTTATTCCGGTTTCACTGTACCTTGCTGTACATAACTCAATTTTTTTTTTTTTTTCAATTAATTCTCAGGGCGCTGATCAACGCATTGATTTGATCCGCTGTACTTTTGAGTGCCGTGGAGTAAGGCTGTCGTCCGCAGGTATCCACGTTAAACGCACCGGACGTTGTACATAACTATTATGCTACGCATTATGGGTCAGAATATAAGAACTATACGGTTTCGGTGAACCCCAAGTAAATCCCTTATTATGTGGAAACATTATTTTACTACTTCTTTTATATACATATGTATTATGTATGATCGCCGAGAAAATCAGAAAACTGGGTAATTTTTGTAATTCGTTTAAGTGAACTCAAAGCAACATCGGGGCACAGTTTCAAGTCCATCTTATGAGTCCCACAATATACAACTCATTGCAATTAAAAATACAAGCTTACGACAAGCTTTAAAGCAAATTAAAATTCCAATGAACCTTTGTCATCCTCATATCAATTACACTCTTAATTATTGAAATAAAAATACCCTTTGTTATTATTGTTTTTGCTGATTAGTAACACTTGTAAATTACTTTTGCATAAATGGGTTGCGGTGGAGTATTTTAAATAAATGTTATGACGCTTTGCAATTACACCGCATATATAATATATGTATGTATATACGTATGTACGATTGGGTGCTAACTTGAGTCATGCGATTGGAATTTCTAAGGTGGGTTTTTTAACGTTTTCCGATCTTAAGGGGTTAATGTAGCCGAAAGTAGAGGGGAGATACTATATCCTTTTTTATCAAATGACTTTAAAAATATTATACAAGAAGCTGCTGTGGCATATTTGTGGTAGATATAACGGTCTAATAATTCAATAACTCACTAAAAATATTGCATACAAGTTTTTGGAACATTCTATAACTCTCTAAGTCTATAAAATGGACGCATAAGAATTTTCCTATTGTTGAAACATCGTTCCTCTCTTTTTGGCCGTAATTGTACGCTTCTGAAGATAGTTGCCTTAGGACAGTCCAATTGTTGGCAGTACAGGTCCGAATTAATAGTTTGACCTTTTGGAAGCAGCTCCTAGTAAATTATCCCCTTCCAATCGAGTTTCTCTTTCTGGGTTCTTAAGAGAATATCGTTCCCTGAAGCTTTCAATATGAAAATTCATAGGCCATTCATCATTATTATGATCGTTGGCGCCTCATTCAATGATAACGTCTCAGTTTAACGTTTTTTTTGAAAGAGTTGGTTCTATAGACAAACTAAATCTGGCTTTTACATATTAGTGAAGTTTGAAGCCGTACGCCCTACGTATGCCCTAAGAAGGGTTGGGGTTCGATGACAGTTTCAACAAGAATCCTAGGATTTTTTTTGCAATGATAAAGCTTCTCTTAAGGTCTATTAGTCATTCCCTGTTTTAATTATTGTGGTGTAATATAACTAAACTTGATTTCTGTGGTAGTGGCATTATTGTTATTGGTCTTCATCAACATTCCCTTAAATTCTATCTTACTGATTTTGGTTTATCAATGGTGAAAGGCTCAAAGCCTGTCTAAGCGTCTAAATATCGATTTTCGTTATTTTGTACGAATTGCGTATATACATACATATGTATATGTAATGGTGATTTCCGACTAAAGCAATTCTTATAAAATACAATGCCGCCCCAAATAAGGCTTTCTTACTATCGTATATCGTAATTTTCTGTCTTGACTGAAATTAATACTCACACTTACTTTTAATTATGATTGCGTCTAATTTGTTGGAGGGAAATTATTTCCTAGCGCCGGAATCGCCTGCAATTCTGTTCGAGTGAACTGAAGGTAAACCAAACTTTTCTTTGGTTATGTAATAACCAAATATTTTTTGCTTTGATTTGACTTCTGATTCCTTCGTGTGAAAAACGTTGGAGTAAAATTGAATTTAATTGTTTTGTTGCGCTTTATTGTGCTCGGTTTTTCGCCGTTACTTAATTTTATTTTTTATTTTTTTTTATTGATTGTGGTGTGTTGCTTGTTATATTGTTTAGAGTTTTTTTACATTTGTTTTATTTAAAAATTAGTTTATTATTTTATAGGAATAGTTTTGAATTTTATTTTGGTTTGGCGAAAGCATTTTATGTTTGACTTTTTGTTGGTATTTTTCTAATTTTTTTTGGTATTTTGTTTTTGTAATCACAGTGCTTGGGTAGTTTTTTTGCTATTGCAATTAAAAATGTATCTTAAATTGTATATGTTTTCTTTATATTTTATTCGGTTCCTACCATTTTCAAAAATTTTTTAATTTATGAAATTAATAATTTTTTCTTTTATTTTCAAGTTTAACGTCATTTTGAAATATTTTTTTAATGTTTTTTTTGTGTATTTTTAATATTTACTAATTTAAATTTATAACATTTTTTAATACTATTTATACATATATACGTTTTTGTGCTCAGTTCATAATGTTTTCAGCTTTCAGCGGGTTTTTTACAATTGGGCATTGTAAGCAGATTTTTTTTTTGCATGCGTATAGTTTTTTTTATTACTTTAGTTTTAACTTATTTAATTATTTTTTTTTTTTTAACTTATTTAT